GCCTTCCCCATTTCTTACACCTGGTGATAAGAGCAAAGTTTTAACATGGGTGAAAAATGCATATTATATATATGATAAAACCAGGGTTAAAATCAGAATGCCTAGAAAAATACTCTGCATATCCAATATCACCCAAACTATTTAGAACAGAATATTTAATAAAAAAATAAAACAACAGAAACAATGAAAACAATGAAACAAACAGAACGGAACCTTTAATAAGAATTAAATAGAATATAACCTCTTTGAGAATAAAATACAACAGAAACTTTTACAAAGAAGTGAATAGAATATAGCAGAACTTTCACTCAGTAGTGAAACATAATAGAATCTTTAACAGAGAAATAAATAGAGCAGAATCTTTCATTGAGAACCAAGTAGACCAGAATATTTAATAAAGAAACAAACAGAATGGAATCTTGAATAGAGAATCCGAACAGAATATCTAATAGAGAAACGAATAAAACAGAATCTTTCATAGAGAATCAATTCGAATAGAATCTTCAGCAGAGAATCAAACACAACAAGATTCTTCAACAGAGAATCGAATAGAATGGAATCTTTAAGGAAGAATCGAATATAACAGAATCTTGAATAAAGAATCAGAACAAAATATCTAATAGAGACAACGACAAGAACAGAATATTATTTAAAAGAGAATCAATTAGAATAGAATCTTTAGCAGAGAATCAAATACAACAAAATATTCAATAGAGAATCGAATACTTTAACGGATAGAGGAATAAAAAAGAACCTTCAACAAGTAATCGAACAGAATAAAATGTTTAATACAGAAACGGAATAGATTATTTAACAAAGAAATAAATACACCAGAATCGTACGTGAGAACCCAATAGTACATGACATTTGACGATCTCAGATTAGATTCCTTATGAAAAAAAAAAGATGTGAAACCTAGCAACACTTCATATCATTATACGGATAACTGTATCTTATACAATAACGGTACATGGCTGAAACGGTCATGCCTATAAGAGAGTACATTATAACTAAGAAAATAAACACGGTGTCAGCAAGTCCCAGATCAAACATCGATCAGGCTTATGTTTCAGAAGAAAGTCCGAAGTAAAAAAAAATAATAATAAATACTAAAAAATGATAGAAGGCCATTGGTAGGCCTGGACACATGAGTTCGTACGCGAGCATCGCTAATGACAGGTTGGCTAAAAACAAAGCTACGGTAAAGACGCAGCGGGCTAGTTTGCTCGGAACCAGTTGATAAATGCAATGCCTAAGATTAAAATGGGCTTGCCTCATACCTTAACATGGGTGAAAAATGCATATTATATATATGATAAAACCAGGGTTAAAATCAGAATGCCTAGAAAAATACTCTGCATATCCAATATCACCCAAACTATTTAGAACAGAATATTTAATAAAAAAATAAAACAACAGAAACAATGAAAACAATGAAACAAACAGAACGGAACCTTTAATAAGAATTAAATAGAATATAACCTCTTTGAGAATCAAATACAACAGAAACTTTTACAAAGAAGTGAATAGAATATAGCAGAACTTTCACTCAGTAGTGAAACATAATAGAATCTTTAACAGAGAAATAAATAGAGAATCTTTCATTGAGAACCAAGTAGACCAGAATATTTAATAAAGAAACAAACAGAATGGAATCTTGAATAGAGAATCCGAACAGAATATCTAATAGAGAAACGAATAAAACAGAATCTTTCATAGAGAATCAATTCGAATAGAATCTTCAGCAGAGAATCAAACACAACAAGATTCTTCAACAGAGAATCGAATAGAATGGAATCTTTAAGGAAGAATCGAATATAACAGAATCTTGAATAAAGAATCAGAACAAAATATCTAATAGAGACACGACAAGAACAGAATATTATTTAAAAGAGAATCAATTAGAATAGAATCTTTAGCAGAGAATCAAATACAACAAAATATTCAATAGAGAATCGAATACTTTAACGGATAGAGGAATAAAAAAGAACCTTCAACAAGTAATCGAACAGAATAAAATGTTTAATACAGAAACGGAATAGATTATTTAACAAAGAAATAAATACACCAGAATCGTACGTGAGAACCCAATAGTACATGACATTTGACGATCTCAGATTAGATTCCTTATGAAAAAAAAAAGATGTGAAACCTAGCAACACTTCATATCATTATACGGATAACTGTATCTTATACAATAACGGTACATGGCTGAAACGGTCATGCCTATAAGAGAGTACATTATAACTAAGAAAATAAACACGGTGTCAGCAAGTCCCAGATCAAACATCGATCAGGCTTATGTTTCAGAAGAAAGTCCGAAGTAAAAAAAAATAATAATAAATACTAAAAAATGATAAATGGAATCTTTAAGGAAGAATCGAATATAACAGAATCTTGAATAAAGAATCAGAACAAAATATCTAATAGAGACAACGACAAGAACAGAATATTATTTAAAAGAGAATCAATTAGAATAGAATCTTTAGCAGAGAATCAAATACAACAAAATATTCAATAGAGAATCGAATACTTTAACGGATAGAGGAATAAAAAAGAACCTTCAACAAGTAATCGAACAGAATAAAATGTTTAATACAGAAACGGAATAGATTATTTAACAAAGAAATAAATACACCAGAATCGTACGTGAGAACCCAATAGTACATGACATTTGACGATCTCAGATTAGATTCCTTATGAAAAAAAAGAAAGATGTGAAACCTAGCAACACTTCATATCATTATACAGATAACTGTATCTTATACAATAACGGTACATGGCTGAAACGGTCATGCCTATAAGAGAGTACATTATAACTAAGAAAATAAACACGGTGTCAGCAAGTCCCAGATCAAACATCGATCAGGCTTATGTTTCAGAAGAAAGTCCGAAGTAAAAAAAAATAATAATAAATACTAAAAAATGATAGAAGGCCATTGTTAGGCCTGGACACATGAGTTCGTACGCGAGCATCGCTAATGACAGGTTGGCTAAAAACAAAGCTACGGTAAAGACGCAGCGGGCTAGTTTGCTCGGAACCAGTTGATAAATGCAATGCCTAAGATTAAAATGGGCTTGCCTCATACCACATATGAATATTTCTGTAAACGATGCTGTTCTTACCTGAATGAATGAATGAATGAATGTAAGTGAGCGCGGTGGTCGTGCAGTTGTCGTGTATCTTTTGCACTGACATGCGCAGTGCGTCGTTAGACTGGACACAAAATACAGCGAAGGCTTAAGCTCATGAATGTTAATTATTTATAAGCCATCAGACAATAATTGGATTGCAAATAAATGTAAATGCACTTATATGATATGTAAACATTACCATAGGACATTTGTGTGTGTGTGTGTGTGTGTGTACAGGTATATATGTAGGCCTGGACACATGAGTTCGTACGCGAGCATCGCTAATGACAGGTTGGCTAAAAACAAAGCTACGGTAAAGACGCAGCGGGCTAGTTTGCTCGGAACCAGTTGATAAATGCAATGCCTAAGATTAAAATGGGCTTGCCTCATACCACATATGAATATTTCTGTAAACGATGCAGTTCTTACCTGAATGAATGAATGAATGTAAGTGAGCGGTGGTCGTGCAGTTGTCGTGTATCTTTTGCACTGACATGCGCAGTGCGTCGTTAGACTGGACACAAAATACAGCGAAGGCTTAAGCTCATGAATGTTAATTATTTATAAGCCATCAGACAATAATTGGATTGCAAATAAATGTAAATGCACTTATATGATATGTAAACATTACCATAGGACATTTGTGTGTGTGTGTGTGTGTGTGTACAGGTATATATGGTTTATGAGGACACAAATGTGTATAATGACATGGGTACTACAACGTAAACATGGTTTATGAGGACACTTCCTGTGTCCCCGTAAAACAAAAGGCTTAAAAAACATACAAAACGGTGTTTTATGAAATTCAAAAATTGCCAGCAGTTTCCTGTAAGGGGTAGGGTTGGTGTAGGCCAATAGAAAATACAGTTTGTACAGTATAAAAACCATTACACCAATGGAGAGTCCCCATAAAACACAAATACAAGTATGTGTGTGTGTGTGTGTGTGTGTTTGTATTGAAGACTTGAAGACCCCTGATGTAAACCATTACACCAATGGAGAGTCCCCATAAACCACAAATACAAGTGTGTGTGTGTGTGTTTGTATTGAAGACTTGAAGACCCCTGATGTGTGGAAAACACAGCCTACATGGGCACATAACACATTTTCATACCTTTACAAGATTTTAAAAAGAATGCTAAAAATTACATATTGAAAATAGAAAATGACGAAGCTAAAAGTGAGCTGTGATGAATTACAGTATAGTATCATTTTATTTGAACTCATTTAATTTATAAGCTAATATTAATAAAATTTGATGTTTTGTAGTATTATGTTCTGATCCCATTTAGTGTTTTTTTTTTTTTTTGGGTATAAAGTTTATACCAGTTTAGGTTAGAAAAGTACAAAAAAGCTTTTCCCCCTTTAAGACCGGTCATAACTTTGTAAAGTCAGTTACATAAAAAGGTAGATTGGTCTATTTTTATTCTAAAATCAAATTAGACCAAATTAGATTTTTTTGTTGTTGTTGTTGTTGTTGTTGTAGTGAATGTCTTTATTGTATTAGGCTACTGTCTATTGTATTGTGTGTAGAAGGCCTGAACTTGTTCACTGCAACCTAATTTACCTAAGGGTACAAAAAAAGTAACCTGAACCTGAACTTGGTTAACCACTACTTGGTCAAAAGACACAGTCTTAACATAGTGGCTATGTTTATACAACTGAACATGAACACTCCTTGCATGGCTGTAAATAATGTTCCTTCTGGCACTGTCGTCCTGTATGCCCTACACGGTATGAGGGAGTGGGCTTCAGGACAGAAACTGAACATATTCTCCTGTGATGACCAAATGCATCTTTACAAGGTCAAATAACTAGACTCGGGGAAAGACTAGAGGGCAACACTGACACTGGCTGCAGAAGGGAGGGAGGGAGATCCCGTCCGGTCCAGCAGTGATTTCTCATCCTCCCGCTTACGTCTTTGACTCCGCCTCTCCACTGCCCTGCCTTGAGCTCCGAGTCTCAGTGCCCCTCTCCAGAGCAGCGGACGGAGCCCACCACCATTCGCCGCTGCCGCTGCTGTTCCGTGCTGGTCTACTGACACAATGGCTTCCGATGGTGTGGATGAACGATCCCCGCTGTTGTCAGCACCGAACTCGGGGAATGTCACGCCCATCGCTTCACCGTATCTGCAGGACTCGAGCCCGAGAGGTAAATGTGGATAGTGATTGACGGAGGAGTGCTGAATCATTTAGGGCGTATAGTAGTGAGCGGGGATCTGTAGCAGCCTACAGCCCGTTTAATATGAGACATTGTAGACGACAAGGAGTAACAGTTCAGATGGTCGTGCCTGAAGAACGGGCCTCGATCTGCCTGATATTGCCATCGCAGCCTCATGTGATGGGTACACAATGTTGCGTTCCTGGACAAGGACACATTGTGTCGAATTTTAAGCTATAGTTAGTAGCTAAACAGTCTGCTTGATCGGTTATGACACCGGTTCAGCCGGATATTGTATGGATATTTCGAGGTCGCTGCATTTAAGATGAGGGAGTTGACATCTCGCTTGCTAGAGATGTTGTTTTGCTTTCATTCATAGAGATCTGGACCAATCCCCATCATCATATAGGCCCAGACCACATTATACAGATTCTATAAGCATAAGTCATCAAAACACTTGTTTACTCCTACATAAGACGCACTGCTAATAGTAAACAACATAAAGGAGGCACAAGGAAAGATGACAATTCATTAACGATTTGGTGAGCAGAAAAACTGCGAAGAGTGTGCAGTTTTTGTTTTTGAAGGGATGTTTTTAGATAAATTCTTACTTTGCTACAGTAATGCTGGTGACACTTTATTTTAGTGTCATTGTTACTACTTGTACATGTAGCTACTTACTATAGAAGCAACAGTAAATTATGAATAATTATAAGCAACTAATCCTAACCCTATAGTAAGTGCATGTTGTTAATTAATGTTACTCAGTACTTATTTGTGTAATTACACTGTAATGAGGACACCTTAAAATTAAAATGTTACCATAATGCTTTTCTCAGGGATTGTTAGCAGAGCCACCATAGGCATGCAGGCAGCATAGTGGTCAATCAATATGGGGTTTTCAGTGATTGATTTCTAGACTTTTACTTTAATTTCCTCTAATCATGAATAATTGGTTGTGTATTTGATTGCTAGGCTGTAAAGAGACATCAAATCCAAGTGAGGATGGCAAAAATTTAACAGACAGTTCCACCTTTTACAAGTCTGAATAGGAAGCGAAACACATTTGATGGTATATTTTACATACTATAAGCATTTCTTTACATATTTAAAAATAAAACCAGTTTGTGAGGTGAACTGAAGAAATGAGGGCCTTGTGAACTGAAGATTTTCAAATAAATTGATTAATAAGAGCCCCAAAGACTGTTTTAGGCAAATTCACAAGGAAATGTGGGCATCAGATTTCCACATGGACCCACTAAACAGATATAGTTAATTAATAGGGTTTTTCATTGGCCAATACAGATAACTAGAAGAAAAGAGCTAATATAATACTGACACATAGCCTATGTGATATAAGCTAGTACTATTTACTTATAGCAATTCTGAGATGTAAATGTTTTTTTAAACATGCAATACATATTTGAAATATTTGAAAACAAAGGAAGGACTTGCTTCTGAGACTTATAGCATGTAATCTCAAAATGAGCAATTGTCTGAACGGTCTGTCAGCCCATATTTGCTCTTTTGTAAATCTACCCATATTGCACTTCCTGATTAGCAGAAAAAGATTTACGTTTTTACTGTAATGATCCGCTTACACTTCATCTTATTATTCATGATGGCTTTTTCACCGTACCATGATCAGGTGATGTGGACGGCGTAAACTATGTGTGCTAATGTACTCTAGCATTATCTGACCTAGTATTTCAAACCCCTGGATTACGTTTTTTTTTACCACGAGCGTTCACTCACTGAGTCTATGAGAGGGATTAGCTTGTCCTGTTGGGGGGTGCAGGGGGAACTGCTGAGCTGGACTAGAGTCTGTGCACAACATTGCTTAGTGTGCTGAGACTGATGTTTATTCTGCAGTTGCATTTGGAAGCCAAAGCGAGATGTATTGGAAACACCAGTGTGCGTCAAACCTTATAAGTGTAGAACTGTGAAAGTAACAGTCTGCGAGCTCTTTAACAATGCTCTGTGCTGTTAGACTGAGTAGAACAAAGGATACGAAAGAGCTTTGACCTTGTCTGCATGACATTCTCTGAATGGGTTTTATTTTAGTGATAGTGATCAGTCCTCCAAGGCGAAAACCAGACCGACTATTGCACTCTGCACTGGTGATGTCACATAATTTCTGCAAGGATCTCAAGATACACAAATATTAGTTGACTGAAACTCATGAAGGTGTAGCTGTAGTCTAGGGATGGGCAGGAGGACTGGATCAACTTTGTCTTAGGCCTGGGCGATTAATCAGATTTTGTTGTCAATTACAATTTTGGCTTGCAAAGATTATTGAGATATAGGTATTATTGTGCTGGAAGTTTTGCAATGATGCTCTTGTTTCGAGTGCACACCTTTCTTTCACAACAGTGCACATGATCCTGAAAATCTATTTTTCATACTGTACATTGTAGTGTTGTGATACAGAATAGTGCTTGCATCCATAAATCAGTATCAGCCAAAATTGTAATATCAGTGCAAAATAATGCAGTTTCGCACATTATTACTACAGCTACAGAATGATTATGGATAAAGGGAATAAACTAGAACACGTTTACTGACTTTTGTACACTCTCATATTCACTATTCACTATTCATATTCATGTCAGTGCATGCTAATCTCTGCTACACATAGGGTGCACAACCTCTCTCTGATATTAAACATGACAGAGAAGGAGTTGCAACAACAGCTGTCTGCAGGCTCCAGGCTTGGGAAAAGGCCTCTCGTCTTACAAACAGTGTGGGATGGTGACAGAGAAATGAGACCTGTGCTTTTCATCTGCCCCTGGAGAGACGCTATATGCTATATTAGTGTGTGAGGCATAAGGATATCTGCTTATAAACTGTCAGCTTGAGCCCCTACTACAATGTACACGACTGCATGAATGCATCCCACACATGTGAGACAGCAGCAACTTTATTTACAAAGACTCATTTTTATAGCCTATTGAAAACAATGCAGAGAACTGATTTTTTTTTAGTCTTAAAGGCTAATCATATTTTGAGCAGTACTCTAAACACTGTGTCTCATGACATTGCATTGTTTGTTTGATCCTGACCAGCCTGACACAGCAACACTGAACCAATGGAACGAGTTTGGGGTGGACTGTTTATTGGATCATTTTTTATGTTTGGTTTGGTGTTGCTATGGTGCACAAATTACACACTTCACCTTTAAAAAAAATCAAAGTGGCACGGTAGATGATGCACTTGTTCATGATACAGCTGCTTTTGTGCTCATGGGGACGTAGGTTCAAACAGGTTCAGTTTGCGTCATGTTCTGATCCTTGTCTCTCCTTGTCTATTCTGCAGAACATGGAAACAAAGAAACAAACCTCCTAAACAAGAAAGAGTGATAACATAAGCTTTAAGTCCGAGAATGGCACCTAAAAATTGCTGGAGAGAAATTTCATGACAACATTAAAACTATACTACAGTAAGGAATACATACTCATCATAGGACTGTCTGACAGCTGAAGTTCTTGATGTCATCGTCAATGGCTTGCAGGTAGAACAGGCCCATAGGTTGAAATAACTTCTACCATACTTTTTTTTATTTAACAGGATGGTTTGCTGTTAAAATGAGATGCGGATGTGCGCAGTTTATCTGCTTTTAGCTTTAGAGTGTTTTTTCGATTATTGTATCACATCAAAAATCAATTAAAGGGGACATCGGATGCAAAATTCACTTTTACACGGTATTTGCATATAAATGTGTCCAAGCAGTGTGTGGACACGACCACCCTACAATGATAAAATCTATCCATTACTTTTTTTTTAATCCCCCAAAACAAAATGTAAATAAATACTATGGAAGTCAATGGCAACCACCAACTGTTTGATTACCAGCAATCTTCAAAATATCTTCTTTTGTGTTCAACATAAGAAAGCAACTCATACAGGTTTGGAACGACACCAGGGTGAGTAAATAATGACAGAATTTTAATTTTTGGGTGAACTGTCCCTTTAAGCCGTTTTGATTTTCTGCGCAATATGACCTCATATTGCTCAAGCCCCTCCCCTTCTGACGGACTGTCTCGAATTAGCATATTTCTGCTCTCAGCCAGTTGTATGCTGTCCACCATTTTCTCCGCGCTCGAGCAGCTGTAGCGACAACAATAGCTGTGTCTCATTTAGAAGGCTGCACCCTCCGGAGGTCGAATCCTCTGGAGGTCGCATCCTCTGTAGGATGCATATACGAAGTGTCCTCAACCTAGAATTAAACGAGACGGCCTTCGCAGG